ACAATTGAAGATGCCCAGTCAAGATTTTGAGTACCACATGGAATGAGCCACACTTAAAAAAAGGACCTCAATGTTTTTCATTCAATGGTTGGCAAAGTATTAAGGCCTACTCCAAGTGCTTTAGTAATGGCTGTATACTTCCACATTTAAAACTCTTGCACTTGTTGCTTTTCCCCCCCCCCATCAGTTGTTGCTGCTGAACACCGCTTATTGGCTTCAATTAAAATGGATATATCCCAGAAATCTTGTTATTGCATATTAAAATTGACTGAGTTATTCGGTTTGACTGTATATATTTTACGTTTATCAGAAATTTGTTACAGACAAGATGTTTAAAATGGTTTCCGAACATGTCTGTATGGAAGCCAGTATTATGATTTGCCATTTCTATACATTCCTGTTTCTAAATTGGAAACGACTTTGAGTCGTTTCTGATCTTTTCGTGACTTGATAAATTTGTGTTTAATTTGACAATTTGATGTTATATTGCAATTAAACTTGCACAATCAGTTTCAGTCAATATTTCAGTCTATAATTTGTCAATAAAAATTAATATCTTAAATAATATCTCAGCCACCGCACTCATTATTTTTAATCAAAGGAGACGTTGGCGTGTTATCCAAGCATTAATGGCAAGAAAAGCCCCTTGTACTTGGCAGCGGTGCATATGAGGTGTTTCTCCCTCCTATCTGCTTCAAGGTCTTCAAATATTGTGGCATTTCTTTGTTGTTTAGAATCCAGTATTCCCATAATGCTTGTCTTTAATGAGTTAAATCAATGTCAGGTGACCTGTAAGTGCGCAATTTTTTTCCATTGCAGTTTTGTGACATTTATTTTATGAATTGCCTAAAAAACCACGTCATGCAAGTGTGTAAACTTTTTTTTTTGCTCTATATATATATATATTTTTTTTTAAATTGATGTTTCCATTGGGGAGTTTCCATCTCAATTTGAAAGGGTATGGAAACGCAGCATGATGCATCTTCATACAAATGCCATTTGCACTGCACTACATGAAGGGAATCTATGAAAAGTGGTCTAAATAAATATTTAAGAACCCTAATCAAACTAAAATATTTGAGATCCGTATTAATGCAACCCACCACATTTCCCAGTTTAAACTCGCTACAGATATTAAAAATTCATTGTACCAATGCAAATCTTGAATTCTACTGGAGAGCAGTAATATAAGATCAAAACTGATGGAGATGTGAAGACAAATGTTATTTAATGTTTAACCAAACAAATTAATTCTGTTGTAAAGAATAGTTTATCAATTGCAATTCATTTCCAAACTCAAATAATTTTTGTCATTCCACGATTTGGGGAGCACGATTTTTATTACTTGACGTTTGGACTACTGTAATTTTTTGTTTTTGGGTCTTCGTCAATCATCGCTTGCTCGACTCCAGATGGTGCAGAATGCAGCTGCAAGGCCGCTGACCGGGACAAAGAAATACGATCATGTCATCCCCATTTTAGCCTCGCTTCATTGGCTCCTGATCTATTTTAGAATTCAGTTTAAAATCCTGTTGTTTGTTTTTAAAGCTCTTAATGATCAAGCTCCATTATATATTAGAGGTCGTCTTACTTCTTTGTCATCCACTAGATATTTAGACAGAGCTCTTTTCAGAGCTCAATTGCCTTTGGACATCCACCTTGCACCCTCAACTGCTATTTTTAAATCTAAATTGAAAACTTTTATTTCCCCAAAGTTATTTCTGTCTGTTCTGTTTTTTGTTGTTGTTTTTCACTCTGTGCAGCAATTTGGGTAGCCCTGCTAAATATGTGCCATATAAATAAAATTCACTTGCTTAATATTATTTTTGTATTTTGTGAAGTCTGAAGTACATGTAAATGTATGAGAGGATTACATGTCAGAGACACCGAGAGGAGTTATTTTAACCACATTGGAATGTACATGCAATGTAGCAGGTGTTCTCCCATGTGAGGCTACGGAAAATGTTGAATGAGGTATTCTCTATACAGGAGGAGGACTGTATAGCATGACATGTACATCTATTTTAAACATGAACAACATTTTACCACCTTGTAGGGATAAGTTCCTTTGGTCGGCAAATACACCCCCAAACTTCGAGTACGGACATCATCCCTCCAGAAAATTGTCTCTCTCCTATGTCTTGACAATTAATAATAAACAAGATATCTCTTGGCAAAATAACTGGTGTTTAGTCCAGTGATTCAACAACAGGGACAAGAGCTTAATTCCAAGTCTACAAGATGCTGTAATCAAACTATGGGACAACCTGATCGAAATGTGAGGATGTCTTCAAGGGATATAGGAACTGAACCCACAGTTCAATGAGGAACTATGAGTTTATTTTACAACTATGGCAACAGACATTTACAACAAAATGTCACATTGAAGATTTGACTGACCGCTTAAAGACTGTTTAAATCACTCACTAAAAATTGTTGCTATTACAAATAACTGCACACAAATGTTTGTTTGAGCGAAAAAAGAGAAAAATTAAACATTTAAAATAAATCTACCTATGTATACACTGTAAAAACAAAAATGACCTAAAAGGCAAGAAAAAAAAAGTGTTTGGTCATGAACAAAGTCAAGAAAGCCATGTCGAAAACAGGCAAAGCAGGCTGGATCCAGGTCTTGGTTACATCCAACAGATGAGTGTTCATTTGTAGAATCTTGATGGCCCTGTGAGGGTAGAGCAGTCTGAGTGAAAATGAACTATGCATTTAGATAAAACAATGACAGACATGCTCATTTGGGCTCATTATTTTTTCAGCCTCTGTACCCATCTCGGTTTCTAGCGGAGTAGGGTTGAAATCATAGAATCAATATCATGAGTCATGATACTGGAAATTTGACAAATGAAAGGTACTCGTTTCATATGGATGCAAACTATTAACTAGCAAAACTTAATAAATGAGTAAAACAAGCATAAATGTGCAATACCAGGCATGCCGCTGGAAAATCGGTCATTGGAACTGTTTGGAAGACAGGATGAGTAGTTCATTGGGGGCAGGGGCTTCAGAGTGGGCACCTGAAAAAATACAAACTTAACTGTGAAAACACATTTTTAAATTAAATCATGTGATAGATGACTTCTTGTCTTACTTTAGATCTTGTTGTTCATCCTACTCAGCATGTTTTTTGCCACAACTTTCATTTAGATTGGTTTAGAAATGCAATGGTAGATTTACAAAAGACAAGACAATGGCAAGTCTTTCAAGAAGGGAGAAACCCTGTTACAAGGGTTTAATTTTAGCTCGAATGAGGAAGAGAAAATAAGCTATTTCCGTTAATACCACGACATTAAAAACCTTTATGTCCTTTAATTACTGCTTTACAAAATACATTGCACTGAAATAGGGGAGACCGGGGACAGTTGCAACAGAGGATGGTTGCAACATGTCATTTATCTCCAATCAGAAACAAGCAAGAGTGATGACACTCACACTGCACATGCACAATTGGATGCCCCACCTTGCAGAGAAAAATCAAGGAAGTATTTATTTTCTTGAGCTTCATTTTTGTTATACTGTTTGTTATACTTTTTATGTGATTCAGCTCAAACTTATATGGTTTAAATGAGTGAAATGTTAACTTTAAGCTGTATGGTAAGCATGCATCAAGGTAGCCTTGTTTAGCTGGCACATGAGGTTATCATGGCTGACAGGAACTGTTGCAACTCTCCCTGTTCCGGTCATGAACAATGCATAAATAAATAAACATATTATAAAATAGTTTTTACATGAAAATAGGCTAAATAAAAGTTAATTGCCTCACAAATTGTTCCATTCTACCTACGTACTGTATTTTATATCAGTTTGAATATTTGACATCTGAACATAAGGCCTATTTATCTATATAAATCTATAATTGTCATCTAATCAAAGCTGATGAATAAATAACACTGTGATATTATTATAACTTACATTTTTGATAATTAACATTTTGCTTACACTGACATATATTGTATTTGTAACATGTTGCAACCATCCCCGAACAATGTTGCAACTGTCCCCCAGTTGCATGGTGTGCTTATTAAGCATACCACATCCTGTTCACAAACAAAACAATTCTGCAACTGGTTTCATTGACTCCTTTTTGACTCCAGCAAACACTGCGGTGGCAGATTTTAAACTGAATATTAAGCCAACCATGTTTTAACATTTGACCTCATTTAGCCTGCTAAATCTGAGACAATGTACTAAGACATTCTGTACGTGTCAAACGCCTGACTGGGTGTATAAATAACAAATATGGGAAATGGAACAAGACAGATGACTAAGTTAGAACTTGTCATCAATGAAGTAATCATTAAAACTAAATCTCCTCTACCCAGTAACAAAAGAGACTGTAAATGAAGAACCAATCAAAATAATGTCATTTGACATACCTCCCTATTGTATAAAAACTGTTGTCTCAGTATTTTCGGGGGGATTCTCAATGGAATTTGTCTGAGATCCACCGGCCTTGTTTTTACTTGGGAGATTCTCTGAGTATTGCTCAAGAACTCTCCTGGCCGTAATTAAAAGCATTGAAATGACATTTGCTGCAGTCTGTCTTATTTAAGCTGCGCAGCAAGAACAAGCAAGTTAGAATTACTAGCACCAAGTCGACGTCGACTGTAGACACGCTAGGTTTATAGGATTAGTACCCGGCTGACGTCGACTGTAGATGCGATGGTATAGGGTAGGTTTAGTGCTCAGCCGACGTCGATGTATAGATGCGCTAGGGTAAAACTATAAGACTTGGCCAACCAGAGTGAGTATTATTGTAGGGTAGTCAGATTTAGGAAAAAATCCATTACAACACCAACACAAATATAAAACTGCTGTTTGCTTCTTTAAATCACCCAAACACGACATCATGACTTTTGCGTAAACATTTTCAGCTATCCGCATGCATGTCTACGCCGTTAAATGTCCGAGTGATTCCGCGGGTATGTAAACGCTGTTAAATGTCCAAGCGAAACGAAGCAAAATGTAGATCTACATCTGGGGAGCGATATTTTTTTTTTCCTAGGATGGTAGGGGAAGACTCATAAATGGTATTAACCCCAGTGACGGGTAGGTTTAGGGACGGGGTTGGGGTAGGTCATATATTTATATATATATATATATATATACATATACACTCACCGGCCACTTTATTAGGTACCCCATGCTAGTAACGGGTTGGACCCCCTTTTGCCTTCAGAACTGCCTCAATTCTTCGTGGCATAGATTCAACAAGGTGCTGGAAGCATTCCTCAGGGAGTTTGGTCCATATTGACATGATGGCATCACACAGTTGCCGCAGATTTGTCGGCTGCACATCCATGATGCGAATCTCCCGTTCCACCACATCCCAAAGATGCTCTATTGGATTGAGATCTGGTGACTGTGGGGGCCATTTGAGTACAGCGAACTCATTGTCATGTTCAAGAAACCAGTCTGAGATGATTCCAGCTTTATGACATGGCGCATTATCCTGCTGAAAGTAGCCATCAGAAGTTGGGTACATTGTGGTCATAAAGGGATGGACATGGTCAGCAACAATACTCAGGTAGGCTGTGGCGTTGCAACGATGCTCAATTGGTACCAAGGGGCCCAAAGAGTGCCAAGAAAATATTCCCCACACCATGACACCACCACCACCAGCCTGAACCGTTGATACAAGGCAGGATGGATCCATGCTTTCATGTTGTAGACGCCAAATTCTGACCCTACCATCCGAATGTCGCAGCAGAAATCGAGACTCATCAGACCAGGCAACGTTTTTCCAATCTTCTATTGTCCAATTTCGATGAGCTTGTGCAAATTGTAGCCTCAGTTTCCTGTTCTTAGCTGAAAGGAGTGGCACCCGGTGTGGTCTTCTGCTGCTGTAGCCCATCTGCCTCAAAGTTCGACGTACTGTGCGTTCAGAGATGCTCTTCTGCCCACCTTGGTTGTAGCGGGTGGTTATTTGAGTCACTGTTGCCCTTCTATCAGTTCGAACCAGTCTGGCCATTCTCCTCTGACCTCTGGCATCAACAAGGCATTTCCGCACACAGAACTGCCGCTCACTGGATGTTTTTTCTTTTTCGGACCATTCTCTGTAAACCCTAGAGATGGTTGTGCGTGAAAATCCCAGTAGATTAGCAGTTTCTGAAATACTCAGACCAGCCCTTCTGGCACCAACAATCATGCCACGTTCAAAGTCACTCAAATCACCTTTCTTCCCCATACTGATGCTCGGTTTGAACTGCAGGAGATTGTCTTGACCATGTCTACATGCCTAAATGCACTGAGTTGCCGCCATGTGATTGGCTGCTTAGAAATTAAGTGTTAACGAGCAGTTGGACAGGTGTACCTAATAAAGTGGCCGGTGAGTGTATATATATACAGTAATGTAACGTTAAGTCAACGGCGTTCATAAACACGCTGAAAAGCGATTATGAGTGTTGATAGCACGCCAAAAATTGAAATATGAATTGGCGTGTCATACACACGCCATTTCATGAGATCAGTCTGCAAATAGCCAGTTTTTAAATTTCCACACTAGAAGTACAAGACTAAATTGTGCATCATCTCTTTGATGAATAATCAATATGTACAACCTTATCTGGGCCAACTGAGATTCTGAGGTCAAATATTTTCATATAATAACCAAAGATTGAGAATGTGATTTCTAAAGTTCCAGTTAAATTTCTGAATTTGATCTGTGCCAGTGAACAGGATGTAGAAATGCAATTTTGAATATATGCATATTATAATAAGTAATCATTGGAAGCATTTACCGATGAAATGCTTCTGAGGCGGTACTCCATCAGAACATCTGTGAGCTTCTGTGTGACTTTTAAGACAATCTGAGCATCGTCCTCATTCTCAATACGAAAAGAGTCCTAATAAATCAACAAGAAACACAAAGTTTATTAACTCCAAACAGTTGATAATCTAAACAATAAGTGTTTCGACAAACACCGTAAATCCAAAAGAAAACCGTACCAGGTATTTGAGCAGTGTTGCAGGGAGGCTATTGTTTTCCGGGGCTTTAGGGCCATGTCCCATCAATCTGTCCCCGCTGCTGTTCATAGACATGTCATTAGGGAAAGGTCTGCCCATACCATCATTATGCTGGCCGGGCCCAAAACCATCAGGGCCCATGCCCATATGCCCATCATCAGGGAAACGATGCATGTCCTCTGGTTCCATCATCCCCCTGTCTGGTCCAGACATTCCATTACCATAGCGACCAGGGCTAGTGAAATCTTCCATATCAGAATAACCTCTCCTCATAGGAGGATCATCCATACCTCCATGCATGCCAGGGCCGAAATCAGACATCATGCCACCACGAGGTGGAAAATTCCCCATGTACATGGGATCTTGATAGGGACCTCCTGAGAATGTGAGGAAAAAGTCAAGCAACTATCAGAACAACCTTTCCAACAATTTTTTTTTTTTAATTTTTGCTTCTATCAACACAAACACACTAGAGAGACACTAACCGTGTTTTATGCCTCTGGCAGGGGGCCCAAGAACGCCAGTTCCTGTAAACCCTAGATTGGGTTGTGCAGACTCTACGAAAAACAAACATTGGTATCATATATATATATATATATATATATATATATATATATATATATATATATGGGAAGTGATAGTGGGATCGGGCCAGATGATTTAGAACATTTTCACAAGGTAGGTATACATCTTCACAAATTAGAAAATGAGCAAAAATCTGGGTAGATCGGTACAAAAAATATTTATTTATATTTATTATATTATTAAAATATATTTATTTTATTACTTCTGATTAAATTCCTTGTAAGGAACACTGATAACGATAAATGAGTATAACGATCTGTTAATGGACAAATGAAATAAAAAATGCTTTAAAATGCGTGATTGAGTATTGTTTAAAACAAATGTTAACAAATCTCATTAAATGTTAAGGTGAACTGGGACATCTAAACTCTATTTGCAAAATTTCTAATACTTGTATAAGTTCTGGACAAGCTGGACACTTTTGAGGGGTTTTTTTGTGCTGGGATGTTAAGGGTACTGAGTACAGATAGACAGGAATAGGCTTTGTCCACACCAATACATTTTTCTTTGAAAATCTTTTTTTTTCACTGTTTTAGCCTTACGTCCACAGACAGCGTTTTCTCCGAGACAGCGTTTTTATTAACAAAAACTAAGCTTTATGGAAACGCTCTCCAAATTGGATAAATCTGAAAAGGCCATTTTGGCCACAATGACGCATGTTTAGTCACAGTAGGACGCATTGTAAAGATAGAAATTGATGTTTTTAGACTGGTATGGGCTATATGCACGGATAAGTTCTGCATTTGACGCAAGGATGCTCAACAGTTTCCGGTTGGGGAGATTACCGTCACCCGGTTTTTGGAACGAAACGTTCATATGTTTAGATGTAATTTTATATATAGTTATGTTTATTTAATATAATTTTAAAAAGAAGCATAACCACAACAAGGGGTGTCAGTTTTATCTGTTTTTGTGACTAACGTTTCTTTAGTATAACCATGAAGTATAAAATTCAATATAAATTCTAGGTATTGCATTGGACTCTATGATCGCCGGAAGTTAGAGCATCCTTAGACCTTCACCAGAAATACCACCGTGCCTGTTATGTGCTATTCACTTTCACATTTGCTAAAATGTACTCTCCTCAAATCACAGTCCTGCAAAGATGACAACTCGCTTACATTTGCTGTTCTGTGGCAAAACATGAGCAGTCGTGTTTTAGACCAAACATATAACGGCGAGTTTGACCTGGACGCATCAGTGAATAGTGAGATATTTTGCTAAAATGTATCCTGCCAGAAGAACTTTGTCTTGTTCCGTCTATAATATTGTCTCAGTGAATTTTTATGATGGTTTACACATGCGCGGTTAAGAGAATTTGGCGTTTATCTGCTTGGTACCAGAAAGGAATGAATAGCAAAGATAAGGACTGAACCGATCAAAGACGTCTTGCAAATTTCATGCATTCTTATCTTGCGTGTTGCTCTGCAGCATCTGAATTTACTCCAAGCTGTGAATAATTTCTTTATTTTGCTATGAAGTGTCTTCTGAGTGGTATGACATCCATCCAAACAAAGTAAGGGTCAGTCTATTAAGTACATTTAAGAAAATGTCTAGTGCGGCAATCAACTTTCATTCCATAAGATTACGTCTTTACAAGAAAAAGTATTGAATGAGAAAAATGACAGGGCTGGATCTTATTCATGGGGATTAGACTGAATGGTGTACCTGTAACTGCTTTTGGGTACTTTTTTCTATCACCTCCGGCGAGGTCCTTATGCGAGCTGAGGCGATACTAAAATGTGACGTGAAAACAATGCCGACTGCTGATTGGTCAGAGAGGATCGTCACTATACACTGCGTCATCATTGCACGCATCAGATGGAGTATCCATAATAACCCCGGTGTTTTTAAAGTCCCCATTGTTTGCCTAAATAGATCGTTTTGTCAATCCACACAAACAAAAATTTTTGGCTTTGTAATCTTCAATCAAATTTTGAAAATGCCACTCAGGACCTTGCCTTTCTTTACGGTTTGGGCGTCTACTTAACATCCATAACCACACCCCTCCAACTGACAGCTGCTGTGTGTTTACGAGCACCGAGCGAGCATTGATTGACGGCGTGTGTAAACTTGCATCATCCTCCATTTCAGAATGAAACACCCATTTTTCTAGATCCAATCAGGTGCTAGTTGGAAAAAAAAAGCCACGCCCACTATTTTACCTCATTTAGCATTCCGTTTCTCTCGGAAATACGTCACAACACTGGAGAAAAGTCGTTTGCAACTTCCGGTTCACGGGGACTTTAAACAGTTTGGCCAGAGATAGTTACTAAACTTACTACTATTATGACAAATTTGATATTTAATATCAAAAACAGCATACACTCGATTTCCTCCACTGTCCTGTGTGTGTGGGTAGCGGGTGTGAGTAGCGGATGTGTGTCGCGTGTGTTTAAGATCACAGCAGTTTCCTGTGGCGTCGCTATGACGACCAGGTACTATTTGTGGGGGTGCTGTCTGCAATGGAAAACTGAGCGAAAACTGGTAATGGAAAAGTGCCATAATTGACTTACTCATGCCCTGAAACGCCACAACCTCACATGGTTCCTTTAGCACCATCTGGATGGAAGAAAAAAAGATTATGTAATTAAAGAGTACTTGTTAAAGTCTTAAGAGCACATCAGCATGCAGTCTTTTACCTTAATTTGACCCCTTCCCTCAGCTTTTTCAACTTCCGCAGCAGCAGCTTTAATGGCTTTCCTTGTGGTTGGATCTTTAAGCGCATTCGCTTCCTCATAAGGAACCTTGTCTTTGTGGTTCTGTTTCTGTTTACCAAAAATAATAATACTAATGTGGATGTGTATATATCAGAAGAATGGGCAGAGCTCATCTGTAATATCTATCTGGATCTAATTGTGAAGATCATACCATGTATCTGAAGCTGTGCTTCCAGCCAGTGATGTGAGCAGCTATTTCATTCTGCAGCTGCTGGACTACACACAGTTTACACTGGTAATGAGGAGGAGCCGACTTAGATGGGCTTCGATACTCCCATATGTACTGCAGTCCTATAAACACAAAGCAAATATGCATTTAAACATAAGATTACTCACTCAAAGTAGTTTAAAATTCAGTCCAGACTCCAGTCAAGTACATTAAAAGCCATTTAAATCACATTTATTTATGTAATAGCATAAGAAAATATATACATTTTTACCCACCAACAACAGTGTCGGTGACTGATTTGAGCCGTTTGTTCAGGCTGGGTATGGTCTGGATGGATCCATTCTTGGCGGTGAAGACTGATGAAAAACACATGAATTAGTCAAATCAAAAAGGACGTGGGCAGGAATTGTGAACCAGGACTTAAAGTAAAGAAGTGAACCCACTCTACTAAGTGGTTACTGAAAAACAAAACTAGCCGAGTGCTTAAAGCACTCGTTCATCTGTTACCCCAGGCCTACATATAGGCAACAGTCATAGTTGATGAAAAATTGTGGTCAGAAAAGGGAGCCACAACTCTCTGCACTTACACGCTGAACAACATATAAAAACAGCAGATTTGAATGAAAAAGCTGCAGTGATGCCCGCTGTATTTCTGGTCACAAGCAAAGAGTGATCACAAAAGCACACCAGTTGAGACCTCAGCCAATCACACTGCAGCAGCATAACCATTCTAATTGAGTTTAAGGCTAGAGGCACCTGAAGTATAATGGAATTCCTGTTAACTTTCCTTGGGCAGCTTAATGCATGCCCTTAACAAGGCGCCACAATCACTATAGCTTGATGACCCTAAGTGGGCATACAGGGATCGAAGGGGGGATACTCCACCTCCTAGCATTCTTGGATCTCGACCTGATGTTACAGCACATGGCGAAAACAGGTCTTGACTTTTCTAATGTTGCTCGAAGGAGCTCGATGTTGATGTTTCTAATGTTGTTCAGCACACCGCAGTTCAAATATGTACACAGTGCAAAGCATTGGTCTGAAAAAGGTCCTAGTTTTAAAGCTGTGCTTGTGTGATGTGTTCAGGGTTGAAGCTCCAAAGCTCTGAAAAACCCAGAAGTGGCACATGGCAATAAGATTACCAAGGCCAGGCACAGCTGAAGGGCAGAACTGAAGGGTTCTGAGGGTGGCACTTACCTATGTCACCATTGTAGATCTGCTGCTTTTTCTGTCACAGGCGATAAATAATATCGTTGGTGGGGGAGAGAAATAGAGAGGAATTAGAAAGATATAACAGAACCAGAGGTGAAGAGCAGAGCTCGCCATCCTCCTCTGCTTGAATTCTCCGCTCCACTTTAAGAGTAGAAGCTGACAGTCCTTGGACGTGAGGACACAAAGTGTCTCTTTGCCAAACACCATCATGCTAGAAGAAAAACTGTGCTTTATTCATCTCCCCAAGAATGGGGCTCTATCAGGTAAACAAGAAAACACACGGGATGATACAAGAGTAACATGTTCTGCAAGTTTCATTCTACTGCAGAATGTTTTTAAAACCATTAAAGTGCTTATCTGTCTTTTATACGACAAAAAAAGCATGGTCAGGTCAATGACAGCCTATGGACATAAGTTTGGAGTAGGTAACACTTTCAAATGTTTTTTCAAAAAAAGTCTATTCTCACCAAAGCTGCATTTATTGGATAAATACAGTAAAAACAGTGATATTTTCAAATATTACTGCAATTTAAGTATTTTAAGAGATTTAAAACAATGTAATTTATTCATGTGTTGGCAAAAATTAATTTTCAGCATCATTACTCCAGCCTTCAGTGTCACGTGATCCTTCGGAAATCATTCTAATATGCTGATTTGGTGCACAAAAATATTTTAATATATTATTACATTAGGAAAAAAAAATATGTAAAAAAATGCTTAAACAAGGTCTGCACTGAATATGTGATGACACTTAACTATTTGCCTTTATTAATAGTTAATACTCTCATTGTTATTTAATAATCATAATTGTTATTTAATATTGTTGTTTTGGTTTCAAATAGCAGAATATCCTACAAATACTCAAACTTCACAGACAAGCAAGGCAGAGACTAATATAATTTTACTATTAATCTCTTAACAGTTAGAGATCAACAATTTGAGGGGTGAGGAATGTCACATGTTCAGCGAAAAAAGACAACAAAAAAAGGCAGAAGATTCCCAAACCTTTACAACACTATGACTAATTCAGTTGGTCACAGTGAGATCAGTCTTTTTCAGTTCAGTATCATCACAGCTGAATGTTGATGCTAGCTACAATATGAATCTTTCCAAAAGTATCAGTGTCAGGCTGCGATACAGTGTCAGGCTGAGCCTCATGACACATCAGGTGGGTCAGTGAACTGCATGGTACGGTTCACTTTAGGTGCTTCTCCACTGCATGGTACAGCTCGGTACAGCTCACTTTTGGGGGGTTTTCAACTGTGTACAGCACCTAGTACTTTTTTTAGTACCACCTCGGTTGAGGTTCCAGGCAAGCCATACAGATAATAGCATGTGACGTGTAAACATTGCAGATCTCTGGTTGGTAAGAGAGAATCGTCACTACCAGCGTCATTGGATTTGCAACACGAGACAACCAAACCCGAAAAAACAAGCTTCTTTGTCTTGCAGTGAAAAACATCTACATGCCGAGAATCAAGGACACCAGCTCCATTGCACCTGTATTGTGCGTTTGTTTGTGTCGCGTTTCGATGATGTCACAACAGTAGAGGCAGCGTAACTAAAATGACCAGTCTATAATCCCACCCACTGTGAAGCGGTACTAAACTGCAGTGGAAAAGCAAACTAAGCCGAACAATGCAGCGACACAGTTACGTGATGCATTTCTGGTTTCAAATTTCTTACAATTTATACATTTGTGAAATTCTGTCATGAAGGTTCTTAAGCAATGAACTAATGATTTCTGTTTCTCCTAATTTGTCCTTGGCTGCACTATAGTTTAGTATTATTCTCATTTTAAACGTGATCAACGTTTGCGTAGGTTCATGTGTAGGGGAATTTGGCTATAAACACGTTACAATTAAAATATATTCTGTGGAAATGAACAAAACGGACAAAGATTTGTCCATTTTGCTGAACGAGACTCAAAGATCCAAAATTCCCATCACTAATAGTGATGAACATCCGTTGTTCTTAGCATTTGTTGCTAATTGGATTTTGTGATTCACTCAAATCATTCACTCAAAGGAGGCAGATGAATGCGAGTGTTCAGGAATGGGATTCATGAGGACTAAATAACATGCCTATTTGACAAAAAAGGGGGACAAATGCCGAGACTAAGAGCATCCAGTCCTGTTGCGTACCTTTTTATGTTTCAATTCAAAGAAGAAACATTTATATTTATCACTTCACATCTTTCCGTGTTTTCATGGAACAACTGGGGTGAAGTTAAATCACGCCAGACACAGGCGGCAAAAAGACGTGTGAAGGAGGAAGCAGATGTTGAAATAGTGTGTTGATGCCGGTTCGGGAATGATGCCCTGACAAAAAACATGTTTATATTGCACTTGATTGTTATCTTATCTGATTTGCAGGTTATGCATTTTTATTTATTATTATTAACTGATAAATTAAAATGCAAATTCAAATTGTTTGTAGAAGCTGTTTTCTGGAACTATTTCCCTTTTTACCTGGGAGCGCTTTGCCAGGCCCGCTGTTTACTTGTGCAAGCAAGGGCAGCTAGACGATTTATTAAACGTGTAGAATACATCCCTAACCATTACATATAGTGTTAGAAATTCAGAAGTTAATGATATAGATGTACATTTCTTAGTTTTATTCATGGTGGTAACATGAAAAATTAGCCATAATCTAGTGAAAGATTGCTGCAATCTCCTAGAAAACTAACACATAATAACATGAAATGTGAACAAAAGCCACTAGATTTCACTAATAACCTACAATCAGACATAGTTCAATGTATTTATTTGTTCTGTTTAGCTATTATAAGACATGTCTTTTAAAGGGACACTATGCAGAAATTCAGTTTGTCAAACAGCGACCCCTAGAGTAGAGACGCACCGATACCATCTTTTTTAGAATCGATCCGATACCAAAAATTATGACTATCGATCGTTACCAATCCGATACTAGCGCAGTTTTTTTTTTTTAATCAAGTAGAATTTCTACTCTGTTACAGCAGATTAGCTCCAATCCTCCAACTCTGTTACAGCAGTTTATCTCCATCCCTGTTTGATCAGGATTGGAGCTAAACTCTGCAGGGCAGTGGCCCTCCAGGACCGAGTTTGAGAAACCCTGGTCTAGATCCACGCGGTAGGGTGAGACTAACGCTGATGGAGTGGATCTGTTTTGATGTAACCTTAGTGCACTGTATTGGAGCTCACCTTCCCACCGGCCCTGCCCCTCTTATTAGGATTTGGTCGTGCTTCCATGCTGTAAAAAAACACAAATGGCCACATTTAAAAAAATAAATAATTATTATTGCTGTAATTAAAAAACACATTCAGATTAAGATTTGAAAAACTAATTTGCAACTAACATACACGGTCCTGCTCTTTCGGCTGTAAGAGCAAGTAACAACAATGGCGGCACTCACATAACACAAATCAGGCGATTTAACGCTGCATCATGCGCAGATACATTTAACTCGCTGTAACACGAAGCGCGAATACTGCACAAAGCACTCACAACAAAACATATATTTAAAGCTTTATTAAACGATTTACCTGTTTAGTTTTGCATTACTAACCTTGTGTCCAGCAAAACTTGTTTGATTTTTGAAAACGAGAACAAGATCGCAACGCCTGAAATAACCAGGAAATTACACAACAAAGACCCTTGTCCGTTTCCCGTCTCTTTCCAAAATAAAAGTCCTCGACATGAAACGAAGACGAATTCCTATCTTTTAATAATTTACTCATACAGTAAATAAGATTGAATCATAATCCAATCATTATCAAATTAATGAAGTTACTCCAAACTTTTGAGACACATATAGTGAAGAGAACTGGACTCACAAGCAAAAACCTTTATTTTGAATCGAATTTTTTTAAGCTACTGTCTTGATTAGTGGCGGTTCATTGCAGTATCTACATAGACATTTTATTTAAAATAAAACAAACTGTAAGTATTTGGATTTATGTATTTATAAAGTAAATAGTCAAAGGAAATAGGAAATGTGTGAAATTTAATCAGGCATCTGCTTAAATAATGGTGTATATACAAGAATTGATTAGTTTCAAATAGAATTGCAGCAAGATGTGATTGGACAGTGCATAAAGATAGCACAATAGTGATTATTATCCAGTGCAGTGTGGTGTAAAATAAATATAGAGGTGGTATTATTGAGTATTGGGGAAGCAAGTGGAAAATGGATTTTTGAGAAAGCTGATTGGGGAAAATTCCAGGAGGAAAGTAATAAATTGTTTAGGAAAATTAATGACGAATTGAGTGTTGACAGACAATCAAATTAAGCAAGGCATAATATCAGCAGAATCCATTCCCAGGAGTAAAGGAAGATGTAAAAAGAAAGCAGTGCCAAAATTACCCAGTTCTGACTGCAGATGATGGTGCTATATGGAAGAAAGTTAGAAATGTTGAGTATATTTAAAAAAATATGCAGGACGGTATTGATCAAGTTAAAAATTGGGGAATAAAATGGGGATTTAAATTCTCAGTGGAAAAATCTTAAGTAATGGGGGGTTTTTTTCAAATAAAAAGAAGGATAAGGAAATAAAGTTGATATTAGTATAGTATATTAGATATGATTATAGTATATTTGAGAAAGTAGAATATTTTTGTTTCTTGGGATTATATTTTGAATATTTTAAGATGAAATAGAATTATTTTCTTTTTTAAGAAAAATAATTCTATTTATGGGTTCCAGCCCTTGTGGGAATTCAAGTTAATGAGGAAGCAGACAAAATAGCCAAAGAATCATTAAAAATGAAAGAACCAAATATAAACATGTCGTCACTTACTTAGTAGAGCAAAAGGGAAACATTTTATTTTAGAAACGTGCAACACGAAATAACAGCCAGTTTGGGACTCGCATTATTACGGTCCAAAAAAAAACATAAAGAGAGGCTATATAATTCACAACACAGTTATTTTCACACATTTAAGAACAGGTCATTCAAATCTAAATCATACTTTACACATTATACGGATGCATAACAGGTTTATGTGAAGTGTGATTCATTGAGGAGACAGTAAACCTGTAATGTAAGGCTTATAATAAAGAAATTGCAAGCTGTAGGATGCCAGGAATTCATTATAACCAACTTATTAAATTATGGTTAAAATTCAGTAAAACAAATAAATGCAATCATGAGATTTAAGAAGAATAGTGGGTTATATAAAAGGAGTATTTAGTTAATTCTTTTCACACTCCATCACAGTAGGTGGCGGTATGCAGCTTTAAAGTTGGTTGGCAATCTGCCACAAAACCAAACGAAGAAGAAGAAGAACACGACGAAGAAGCAGAAAGGAAAACCCTTATGGTTCATTAGAAGCACGAGTGATTCTCTGTGGTCAGTAAAATAAACTTATTCTAAAGTCGTTGTGCTGGTGTGGTATTTGTATTTAATCTGAGTAAAATGAATGCTTGCAATGGCGTTAATCGCCGATAATGTTTTTTTTGTGGCTGCGTGTTTATAGCCACACACACTATGCACACTGTTGTAAAAAGTAATCATCATATCAAACGTGTATAGCTTATGTCTGCTAATGTGTATAGTATTATTAACTGAATTGGTAATATATTATATGTTCTCATGTGCATGATGATTCTTGTGATGCTCTGTTTTGTGATGCTCACTACATTATTTTGCAATGCATTATAACGTTACATGGGAAGAGCTTGACCAAACTGGCAAGATCAGCCGTTTTGTATTTTGTTTGCTGTGTTTAATGTTTTATGATGACTTTTTTTATTAGAATAATTTAAATGTAAAGGAACTATGAAATGGAGCCATATTACCTTTATATTAGTGTTTTTATAATAGTTATTAGTGTTGTATTATTTTTTTTGTTACAGTTTTTTTAAACAACAACTGAAAAATGACCAAAAAAAGAAAGAGGCAAGACGATTTCCAGAAAAATAAGCTAAAGGTTGGCCAAACGAAGCCAAAAGCTGACAATGCAACAAACGTCAACTTCAGATCAAAAACTATCCATTTACCAGAGCAGCTGAAGCATGGGAATTCAGGACCGACCACACACAGAAATCTCGACATCAAGGTACATAAAACGCACAATTGCACACTTTCCACGGACCTTCACCTTTCAATATTGTATCACCGGTTAGGAGAATTAATGTCAGATCATATTGTGATATAACGTCCAATTTACACCCCAAGTTTGTTTTTTTAATCACACTTCCATTGTCTTTCTCTCTCAGGATCTGTTGTCCCAGCTGCATCACTTCAACAGTAATGTGAAGCAGGGAGCTCTGGTGGGTTTGCGGGAGTTGCTCTCCGCTCACCCTACTCTGGTTGAGCAGCATGCGTCAGCTGTGCTCTCCGAGGTGGCGGCGCTCTTCACCGACAAAGACGGCTCCGTGCGCGCAGCTGCAGTTCGTCTGCTGCGTTTCGTCGCTCAGTGCATCTCCGCCGAACGCATAGCACCCTTCTTCCCCTTGCTCAGCGCCCACCTCACTTGTGCCATGACCCACATCTCAGAACCCATCCAGGAAGATGCTCTCCGGGTCCTAGATGTGCTGCTAGAGCACTATCCTGGACTTCTGTCTCAGAGACATACTGTTCTGCTGTCCAATTTTCTGGAGCTCATCTCCCAAAGGCGGAAAGCTGGAAAAGGGCTGGATAAATCTGGGAAAGGGAGCTATTCTCTGACTATCAGCACAAATCGCTCTGTGACAGCACAGCAATGGAGACTTACTGTGCTGCTCAGGTAATGCACCAACTACATTTACATAAAATTCTGTCATTTTCTCCCTCTTCTTTCTGTGGAGGTTGCTATGTTATTATTTATTGTACCATAATAATTTGTGCATGCACACATTTTTAGGTTGAGCAATTTTCTGCAGGCAGTTGTTGAGGAAAGACCTCTGGAGGAGGACGTGATCAGTAGGATTGGCCTTGGAATGTGGGCTGGAGAGAAAGGCTCGGTGACACCCGTAGATGTGAGTTGGGAGGAGCATGTCTTCGGAAAGGGCAGGATCCAAGTGTTTGAACATTCTGGAGCCGCCCCGACCCCACGCTCCACTTATCGCCTAAGGTGCGTTTCATTGTTACATTAAATGATTGCTGACTAATTTCTCTTTTCATTATCAGAGTGTCCTTCATCATGTAGACCAACTGAATATTGCATTGAACATGTTTTGTTTATTTGAGAGGTGCCCAAACTAGGGAATTAAATTTGGCCCTTTGTGACCTTATTCAAAGGTCATATTCTAAGTAAATATATATATAAAAAAAAATTGAATGCCCTTTTTGAGATGCTGGCACAGTAATGGAGTAATTTTGTAGTAATGGAGTAATTTTGCAACCATGATATTGATATTGAGGCAGTAGCACACAGACTTTTCTTTTTTTTTTTTACTGTCAGTCTTTTGTATAATACTAGATCTAATTGTTTGTTTTCATTGTACTGAAAGTTTCATTGTAAAATAACATTTTGTTACATTTTTATATGGTTTAGTAATAAGAACTTCGTCTAAGGCTCTTATAAATGTTTCTAGCATGACTTTGTGAAAGGTTAACTAGTAAACCGAATGAAAAACCATAGCCTTCTTCATGGTCAGTCAGTGCATTTAATATTTGGCATGTTTCATACTGTAACCTACTTGTTCTACAGATTTGTGCATTAGTGTTATTATGCTACTGTAGTGTTGATAGTGTTTCTTACATATAATATCATTATGATCATTGTTTTGTCTTTGTGTCTGATTTGTGTAGGCCTGACTCTAAGCCAGGGGCTGGAATGAATAAGGAACTCTGCTCAGCTGAGACGGTGCAGGGCTTTGCAGGAATCCTGGTGCCTCTGTTGCTGGAGATCTGGATTGAGGCGGCAGGTGGACAGCGCGTGCAGATGGACAGCGGCAACCTGCTCTCAGCCGAGTCCATGGCTCTTATGTTCCAGATCCTCACCATACTGCAGTTACTGAGAAGACTCACCCCACAGAGAGACCAACAGGACATACTGGTACATACACTTACACTGCAGTGGCAGCATCACTGATGTTGTGCAGCCAGGTGTGCTCATATAAACCCTGTTTCCATTGTATCGTGCAGGATGCCTGGTTCCGGAACTCGTACCTGACAGATTTCAAACAGCACTTCATGAAAAACTTCCCCTACGGCCTGCTGGACGTACCAAGACTCAAGAAAAAAGCTGATGGAAAGAGGTGACCAACAAGTCCATTTGCTTTATTAACAGACGTTAAGAATTATAAATGAATGAACCACAATTAATTTTTTTGAGTCCAGAAGTTTCGAGAACTTTATGTTCTTCAATAAAAACAATAGTTATTAAATAAATAAATAAAAATTGATAAAAGCCAATTAATAAATAAAACTTGGATGTTTTTATCATGTCGTCCCAAGCCCATAAGACCTCCGTTCATCTTCGGAACACAGTTTAAGATATTTTAGATTTAGTCAGAGAGCTTTCTGTCCCTCCATTGAAAATGTGTACGGTATACTGTCCTTGTCCAGAAAGGAAATAAAGACATCATCAAAGTAGTCCATGTGACACCAGTGGGTTAGTTAGATTGTTTTGAAGCATCAAAAATAGATTTTGGTCCAAAAATAGCAAAAACTATGACTTTATTAAACATTGAACGATCTTCTGGCGTAGGCGGCGTAGCGCATTTTGGACGGCGAGAGCGGCGAGGA